ATGGCTTGACAAGCAGTGCGTCGGTGCATGCCTGGGATCCGAACCGGTGAACCCTGGGCTGCCGCAGAGGAGCGCACGCATGTAACTGCTTGCGCCACCAGGCCGACCCCATGACTTTATCTTTATTCTATTGAATTTTTTATTTTGACAATTCTATTTTTAATTTACTTAAGTGTTTCTTGTTCTCTGATTTTTCCTTTTTAAAAAAGCATCTTATCCTTATTTTATAGATGCACTATCTTCACCAATTTCACTGAGGGTATTAAATAGATTAAAGAGAAAAAGCTCTTCTACCACCCAAACTTTCTCTACTTCCTCTAGGGCTAGTTTCCTGTTTATCTTGATCCTTGTTTTTGTTATGCAGATTTTCCTCACATTTAAGAATTAGTCAACAGCAAAAGTAACTAGAAGATAATGCATTAATGGGCTTCACTTTAGGCCTTATCTAAATGAAATTAAATTAGAGAACCCAGAAAGGTGGAAATGAAAAGGACCTTACCCTGCAATACTAATACTCAGTCTAGCTTCCCTATACTTCTGTTTAATTTCTTTAGAAAAGAACCCTCTGATTGGGAACCTGGTGATAGATCAGTCTACATGCAGTGAGTGACAGGCTTGATGGGGCTTAACTATCCTAGGTAATACTTCTAGTTACAGCCTCTCTTCAGCTTTCCATTCTATCTGTGGTGTCTTTGGGGCTCCCTCCTTCCCCTCTCTACAGGTGTTCTTGCTCACTGCATTCCTTACTCTTTTTAGCCATTCAGCACTTTTCCAATTGTTTTTTGGCTTCAGAGGCTGACGAAGAGTGGTGGTGTGCTGTTGCTGGCTATACCCAAGCTGACAGTTAAATATTCAGGAGTCTTATGAGATGACTGTTAAACCATTAATAACTTCAAATTGACCACTGTGCAAGTATTTATACTACAGAAATTGGCAAACACTACAAATCAGGGCTTTTAAAAATCCCCCTCACCCCTCCCGAGAGCTAGCACTGATATCTCTCCTCTGTTTCTTCTTTACCCCTCCTCTTTCTCTTCTTTTCTTGTGGGTTTATACCATTTTAATTCATTTATTATACATTTAATGGGGTTGCAGGAAGGAAAGAAAATTAATGTCTTTGCTCAGTCTACTATCTTTAACTGTTTTCCTCTTTTTCTCTTTAGGGTTGCATTATATAGTCAAACTGTACTGCATGGCAGTACACAGCACATTTGGTGGCACTTACAGTGATGCATTTCATAGGTGGTACACAGAACAGACCTCTTACCTGCATATCCAATTCATGGCATCTTTGAGCAATTTCTTCCTTTGCTGACAAAGCTTCATTTAGTTCCTCCGTAGTTTTCTTCAACTGATTACAAACAAAGAGATACAATAAATATTTCAATATGAAGTGGCAACAATTAAAAATTACAAATATACAATATAGAAATAAAACATTTTTCCCCTTTTCTTTCTGAGGGGCAAAGAGAAATCAAGAACCCTCTGCAAGAGTTAAAAGAAGGCAATTCTAACTTGAACATCTTTCAGTCCTAAGCCTGTCTCTTCTGTACTTCGAATTTGGCTCTTCCCTCACATCAAGTTTTCTTCACATCTTCTTCTATCTAGGCTACGTGGTTCTTGGTAGTGTTGATTCTGTAATAAGTTAGAAATTTAACTTTGGTAAAATATGTACGTGCTCAAGGAATAGGGCTTTAATTGTTAAAATATACAACTAGTTATTTTAACACAAGTTTTCTAGTCATATTAAACCTTTGCAATAATTTGTATACCACAGTTTTAAAGTAAAAGATTTTTATTATTCTGATTCTCAACACAAACCAAACATTCCCAAATTGTGTCCCATTACTGTATGAAATCTAAGTTAGCAAAGTATGAAAAAAAATAATTAAAATTAATTAATTTTTAAAAAGAAAAATTAATTAGATACCAAAAATTGCAATCAAGGTGACAATTTTAAAATCAAACACCACAAAATAAGGGAAAGATAAATTACAAGTTGGGTTAAAATTACAGCATGTCCAAAGATTTTCCTGCAAAACATTTAGAAATCACGGGAAAGAAATGAGAGAAGACAAAGAATACAAAGAATTCTGTTCATGCTTTGGAACAGATGTCCCAGAATAGCTGGAACATAGAAACTGACAATGTAACTAACAGTATTTTATTAAAAAGCAGTAATTAAAATTACAAAATAACTTTTCTGTTAAAACCGTAAGAATACATTATACAGTTCTTTTAAAAATAAAGTTCCTTAGTTCACTTAAATATTTATTGACAAATTCTTCACTTCTTCACAAAGATAAAGGGTAGAGGAGACATCTTCAATTGAAGAATAACATGAAATAAAAGGTAAAATATCGTTTGTATTATAAATAAATCATAAGATTAAATGCACACCATCTTCCAGGAATGCATCTATTGTGTTAAATGTGGCATTCAGAAAGTATCACTAATGAATAACAGAAAAATCATTACTAGAAAACACAAATTACAATAAGTTAAAGAAGTTAATTTATTTCAAAGTGGGTTACGCAATAACACTTTAATTACAAATTACAAATTTAATTACAAATGTGTAATATCTATTAAGTGGTTTAAGTTCTTGGATTTTAGGTAAAAAGTAAAGAATTATACCAATATATTCCATAAGCAATTTCAACTGAAACGTTCTTTTCATTAATTTCTACAGTTTATCCTTTTCAATCTCTGCATGGATAAAAACAATGCAAAATTAGATACCTGGCGATCAAGGTCGACATAGGCATCATTTCCAGCAGAGACAGGAGATTCCTTACTCATCAGCTGAAATTAAGATTTAAATGATTATTAACCATGAGACAAAAGAGACTTTCTATATAATATACTTATACAACAAACATGAACACCCAGCCACTACAGAGTTATAAAAATGAAAATGAAAACACAAATGTAAAAGGAACATTTTTCTTTTTTTCTTTTTTTTTATAATTTTATTTATTTATTTATTTTTTCCCCCAAAGCCCCAGTAGATAGTTGTATGTCATAGCTGCACATCCTTCTAGTTGCTGTATGTGGGACGC